GTATACTTTTTTGTGGGTCTCTGTCTGTCCCCCTCCCCTCGCCTGAAAGAAATCTAAATATAACTTTTGTCAAGTCAGAGCTAATATGCAAAGTTTAAGGGTATGACTATGACTATATTTAATTAGAATGTGCAGTAGGTAAGGGCCGATCAAAGCGAAATTCTGTTAAAATGCCGATTTCGGGTAAAAATTGGATTTCAATATCTTTCGTTTTCGGTTAAATTTGAAGTTGAGATGAAGATTTTGCTTTTGGTATAGAGAAAAAAACATCACCGTCAACCTAGCGCCTGTTGTATTTCTCCCACAACGCGCCATTTACCACCCAATTAATATTATTATACCCCCTGAGTCACCGGTAAGTGGAGGATCAATCGTCTTTTTAATTTCCGATGCAGTATTTCCAATCTCTTCCTGTATTGTAGTTCACAATCGTTCTGTAGGCCTACAGATCTCACGCCTGTTCGTATTTTTCTTTTGTTTTACCTTACTATTAAAGTTTTCAAGCCCAAATAATTTAATTGGCATCTTTAACAGTCGGGTAAGTGTGTTTAGCTTCTGTTTGAACATTTTTATCCAATTGTTTTTGTATTAGATAAATGTTTACACGAATACTTTTGAATATTATAAAACATTTACTTTTTGAATTGTTAATGTTTTAGGATTTCTTAGATAGCATAGTGTTTTATGTCGATTTACATAAGTAATATTTTGATAATCAAATATTAAAATGTACTCAAAACATGTTATTTATATATTTAAAAGAAGGTTGCATGTGGTTTACAAATATTGTAATTAAATTTTGATTTCTACTAGTTAAAGTAAACCCCAAGAAAAAAAGATAGCAGTAGCACGCAGGGTTACTAACTTTAGTTAACTTTATTTTTATGCCTTATTATTCTTTTAGTAGTAAGATTTGTTTGTTATATTATTGCAGAAATTTGTCTTGCCTACAATAACAAGCAGATACGTTTTGTATACCTGAAGAGTGGTAATATTCCCGGATCATCATCATCTTTCGTTTGTGGCGCCTGGAGAGCAAACTGCTGCAACCACACCTTTCAAGTGAACTCGGTTTTGGGCTGCTCCCTTTATCTGTGCTCACGTGAGCCCAGATGTCTTAGACTCCAGTCAATAGCATTTGCAATATTATCTTTTTCTCTACTTAGTGTGTGTCATATCTATCCCCATTTTCTGTCCTTTATATCCTTATCTATTGGCTGTTGTTTTGAAATTTGACACAGGTTTTTGTTTGATATTTTAAGTATATGTCGTAAGCAATTATTTGTGAACGACTCTAGCCTATCGGTATTTGCCTTTGTAACCCTAAAAGTCTCCGAGCCATAGAGCAATACTGCCTTGACATTTGTGTTGAAATCCCAATTTTGCTCCGGAGTGACGGGGCCGTGCACCTCCAGATCGGGCGCAGTGAGTTGAAGGCACATCTAGCCTTGTTATTGCGTCATTTTATGTCATCATCTGCTCCCCTGTCCTTGTTGGTCACGCTTCCCAGATTCGCGAATGTGTTTGTTTATCGCATAACTTCCCCATTTAGCTGTATGGGCAAGTCCTGGATGTTATTGATTCTGATGACCTGCTTTATTTTTATTGATTTTTAGTCCAAATTTGGACGCTTCTTCAGATAGCCGATTCAGTTTGGCTTGTGTATGTTGATGCTTGTGAGAAAGTAGGCAGATGTCATCGGCGTAATAGAGATCTTCCAGACTTTTAGAGAAACCCCAATGGATTCTTGTGTAGTTTTTTGTTGTTTTCAGCATGATCCAGTTCATTACAATCAATAATATAATTGGCTATATCATACCTCCCCGTTTCACTCCAGTCTTAATTGTGAAGTGTTTTGTTAATTTTCCCTTGTGTATTACCTGACTGGTGGAGTCTTTATATAGATTATGTTTGATAGATTAGCATAGACGTTTTAGTTACGGTTTGGATCTGATAATATCAAATTAAATTAGGTCTCATAAGGTTGGGTTAGGTTAAGTTTGTTTAGGTTATGTTAGCTACAAATATATGCATCTCAATTCAAGATTAACTTGTCATTACAAGCTTTTATTTAGCCGTCTTTTTTATGTCTATGGATGGAAATTCCAAAGCTAAATTTCTATTAATTGCATCTGACCAATTCATTTCAAATTGGTATGTATGTCAAGACCCAAGGACAATGCAATATGACATCACATTGGACTTAATTGGATGTCCACTTAATTTTTTTATGAATTGATTAATATTTCATATATATGTATAAATAAATAAATATATATATATATATATATATATATATATATATATATATATATATATATATATATATATATATATATATATATATATATATATATATATATATATATATGGTGGTATTTACCTCTCTATCATCAGTGAAACCCTATTTAAGTTTTTAAATTAATAATGCACTAATTAAAGAAACTTATTTTTTTTCTCTTAATACGTAATAATACAACGCAATTTAAAAACTCATAAAAATATAGCGTGTGTCACTGTTTATTGAACACCTTAAATTTCTTTACTAAACTTTAAGAATTGACTCATGCTTTTTTACTGGTATGTAAATAGTAGTGAATTTTTAAATACGAGCTATTCAGTTATTTTAATTTCTTTTTTTTCAGTAATTCATAATTTGTGAATTTGACACTACCAATGCTGCGACTGAAAATATATTGCTTTAAAAAACTATCAGTAGCTCGTGAATGACGATAATACTCACCCTCACTTTCTACTCCTTTCCCCTCCCCTCTTTAAAGTCCGTGACGACAGTTTAAAGACGACACTGAAAAGATCAATCAGAACTTGTTATTACCTCTCATTAATTTCAAATCGTTTAAAAAATAAATTATCTACACCAAATAGCCGGCACTAGGATTGTCAACATTTAGTGTTAGCTTCAGCCTACCAGACTGGTGGGGATGGGGAGAATGTAGCTATATGCCTAGAGAGCGGGGAAGTAACAGGAAAATAATGCATGTCTCCTTTTTATTTTATATATATATATATATATATATATATATATATATATATATATATATATATATATATATATATATATATATATATATATATAGTTAGATAGATTGATAGATATCCCTTAACGCGTTATCGTGACATACCGATTTAGCGTGTAGCATATGCGCATAGGTGTATTTATCCTACTAATGCCGGTCGTTGTGTATTGGGTACATCCAGACGGTTGTATCGGTACCAACGGTACTCACGCCCATCGTAATTTTTTGACTTCGTGAATTCAGCCTACTTACGTGATTTTTATTACTAAATAGGTGATCCGTTTTTGCTCCAAAAATGCTAATAGCTTTATTATTCACTCCTTTATGTATATAAACAGTATAAATCAGATGATAATAATTTTGGAAGTTATCTGCTGATTACGGTTTGTCGCGTTTTTGCGACATCCGCCAATAAGACATAAAATGGTACTTGGGTGCAAAGCAAGTATAACGAAATACGATGCATCGCCAAGCTGTCATTTATTAAAGTATGATTATAAAAAATTAAAGGATTTACAATAGTCTTCGACTATATATAAAAGTGCACTTTAGAACAGTACGGTCCATGTGATAGGTAAAGTAGAGTTCACCTGTTTCATTGACATTGGCATATGGAGAGAGATCGATGCTGGAATAATGTGATCATGTTGCTGGGTAAATATAACGAATTTAGCTTTGAAATAGCATTGTAAAATAATGAGAGAACATAAAAAATATGGACAACAGGAATTGAGGTGGTGGACCACTATCCTGGATAAAAAACAAAAAAGGTCTTCACAGTGACCTTGACAACACTATTACTGAGCATAGACCTACACCTCATAATAAATACATTAAGGTTGAACACTGACAAAAATAAATTTTTGCAGTGCTATTGAATACCTACATTAGTGGCATTATACCGGCATTTAGTACCGACAGCAGTGTTATTGAACAGCACTGTCATTGGTAATCAATAGGAGAATCATTCGAGCACAACAGCTGTAGCACGAAGAACCGAAATCGGAAACATAGGGTAACAATAGCAGTGAGTACCCACAGCAGCTGCATTGAGCATGGAAGAATATACAACGACTGAACACCGGCATTTAGGACAGTATTTGCTCACATGTTTTGTGTGTATAGAAAATATAAGTCAAATGAGAAATATGCGTCTTTATTAGTTGACCTTGAATAGGACTTAACGAAAATGACTTAACCGGGGACAACTAAGTCTCTACACATTTAAGAAAGTCCTTTGTGTTAGAAAGTATTGTGTTACTGTAGTGTAGTAGAACCACGACAACAAAGCTTCAAAATAACAATTCATAAGAGTTAGTCAGTGAGCAGGTGCAGCAGATTTATGTAACGCTATGCCTGAGCTATTAAACTATAGTTTTCAAGGATTTCGTATGTTTAGTTTGTGATATTTTATTGTTTGTGCTGGATATTTAGAGAAACTGACCCGGACTAAAATCATTAAATTACTGTTTGGTCCATACGTGCCTGATGTAGCGTTTTCGCGACATACAGTAATTAGCATTAAAATAAGACCAAATTAAAGACATTTATATAACTCAAAATCAGTGTCAGTATGATGAGAGTAAATCAGCACAAATAATATGTTACACGCTTGAACATCATCAAGGGGATATATATATATATATATATATATATATATATATATATATATATATATATATATATATATATTTAAAGCTGGTTATAAAAAATGTATTATGCATTTTAATTTTGTGTCTGTTGGTCTGTGCTCATATTTGGGCTGATGCGTATGTAATTTCGTTTAGATTGTCAACCTGTTGCGTTACAGTAAAATACTATATCATTTTTGTTTTTATCTTTCATTTGAAAGGGTTACAAAAATGCAATATAATAAAACAATTAATACGTTTCTTATGTACATCTATTTACCTATCATGCAATTCTAATGAAGGCTCAGTAGTCTTATCGACCATAGCCCATTAGAAATCCAAGCATAATGCCTGGTTGTTAAGATGAGAAGAGCCAGATGTTGCCCACATATCAGTCGCCCTTTCCTTACACAATTGGTGGAATCAAATATATCTAACCTAATCCTTACATAACATGATTTTATTTAAGTTATACTGAGCTGATTAAAATGAAGATCGCAGTTCTCCTTCTTCTGGTGTGTCTTGCAAATCTCTGTGTTGTATCGGTCAGGTCAGTAAAATAAATTAAACTATCTTCTTTAAATAACCATTTTCTTATATTGGTAATATATAGATAGACAAACTAACAACAAAAACAGTCAGGTAGACAAACAAACAAAAACAACAACAGAGAGACAGACAAACAAAAAAAAGTTTAATAGTTGGATCGGTGGATGAAAGGTTGGGTGGGTGGGTTTAGGTTTGGAGGTTGGATGGATTGATGGATAGAAGAATGGATTTGGAAATTGGAAAGGATGTGGATATGGATATAGAGATATATGAATTTGTAGATTTAGCTTCGTTTTATTCCCTATCAAACAGTTGTTGTAAAAGGACTGGTGAAGACTGTGTAAGTAAGAAGTGGTGCTGTGAAGATAATGATTGTGTCGTTAATAGAAGGTATTAAATATTTTTTTCAGTCATTAAAATTATGAGTCGAATTTTTCCTTAAATTTTTAAATAATTTTTTCAAAGGAGCTTTAATGTCCTTAAGGTTTATTGTTACTGAGATTTAATTTAAAATTGCCTTCGAAACGAATTTTTTGAAGCATGTTTTATTGTTCAATTTTCGATTAATTCATTATGCTAAACTCGAGAATAAGCTCAGTGTACAATGGCAAAACGTTTAAATAACAAAGTAGTTATTTCCATACTAGAACAACGCCTGACACCACACCAGTAATGCAGTACAGGTTATTCAAAACGTTTAAGAAAGATTTGTTGTACAATCTTGGTTTTGTAAGTTGTACATAGGCTGTATGAGTTTTGTCTCCCTAGCTTGAAAATAGTGCAAAAGACAACGTTCACGAACAAGAAATAATTCAAAAGTTTAAAGACATCTCCGATATTAATCTAATACTTATTTATGAAATGTCCACTATCAGGCTGAAGTGGTATTCAATTTATAGACTTTAATATTGCTAGTATGTAATAGCTTTAGGATACAAATAGTATGATTATAGTAATTGTTGTTATCCAAAAATATTTAATAAAAACCTCCATCCATTATTGTTTCATATTAGTTTTCTTTTCTTTCTTTATATAGAAGAGATAAAGGAGATGGTGGAGAAAAAATATGTTGGCCTGCAAAGTAGTAAGTTATAGAGACCTGAAAAATAATGCGTAGTTTAAGGTTGCTTCTTTAAGTTTATAATACATTTTTTAACATAAACATACTTTTAAAAAAAAAATATCTTCGCCATGTCTGTCTTCTAATTATAACACATACTCCATTTTTTCAATACTAACCGACACTTTCACTATTAACATTGTTTGCGTCACATCTCCATCGAAAATCACAACATCTCAATCAATACATTCAGCAACAAAGTATCCTAATCTTCTATTGTTCATAACATGTTTAGATAAATGATAAAACAGCAATGCTTTACACATTAACGTTGCATACAAAATTTTACTCAGCAAGACTTTAAAGTTTCCAATTATAAAACTGATTGCGCAGATCAAAGTATAACACACAGGAACGCTTTCAAAATACTGAATTTAAAAAAAAAACAATCGATGATTTATGACATACACATTTTAGTGTGCGTATTAAACGTGTTTGCTTGTTGGGTAAGTTAAATTAAAAAAAAAAGAAAAAATATAAACAGTCTTTATGTTTAGAATTTTAATATTTGTGATTATATACATATAACTGTAATGGTATTATTTACTATGTGATTTTTTTCCCTCGTAGAAAAGAAAATGAATGAAAGAATCTTTAAGAAAAAATAAACATCTGATTCTGGCATTGACATATGTTTTTATGGTTGTTTTTTTTTTTACTTTGGTTTTTTACTAAATGAACGCGGATCATACCCAGAACAATCAGTTGTGTCGCCAGATACAAATATATATATATATATATATATATATATATATATATATATATATATATATATATATATATATATATGAGAAAAGTATGTTTGTGTTTGTTTGTTTGTTTGTATGTCTTTTATGCATTACTAAACCTTTCATTACATCGCCATGAAACTTTGGGAAGTTGTTGAGAATATTCCTGAGGAGGTTTTTGCGAAAAAAAAATTCCTATTCGAAGGGGCGGCTCCCCAGCAGGGCGCGATTTCATTTTTCTCTATATGCGGTATATAAAAAAGCGATTTTGGTTGGACAGCGTTCATTCGATAGCCATGAGACTTTGGGGATTTGATTAGAACACTACAGGGAAATGTTCTGTAGAAAAATATTTTAAATTTCGCAAGGGCGCTGCCACAGGAGGGTCCGATTTTTCTCTACATACAGTATATAAAATTAAAAGTCGATTGCATTTTAACATCGTTCATCAAACTTTGGGGAGTTAATTAGAACACTTCAGGTGAGATTTCTGTAAAATCTTTTTTTCATAATATCGCAAGGGCGGCGCCACGGGATAGTGGGATTTTTCTCTATATACGGTATATAAAAATAAAAGACGATTGCGATTCGACAAAGTTTATCCGGGTGCCATCTTTATAATACTAAAATTCAAGTTTGCTTACATGTTTGAAAATTTTTTTTGTTTGTCTAATTTGCTACTGGAGAGAATCTGCACTATGTGGAGAGCTGTAAAATAGTATGTAGGTAGAGAACGATTTTTGTTTTCAGACAGACTGTTAATCACAAATTTATTTAAAGACGTTAATTAATGTATTGATTTATTCATTGATAGATTAACCACATTAATTTTAGAAGTTTCAAACGATGGCTTAACTTTGACGGAATAGTGACGTCACATGATTTGTTTACATTTTACATCAACAATGGCGGCTTCTATCGAAGAAAACTGTTTTCCCATACCAATGTTTAAAGCGTTCTAAAGCTAAATTTTGTCGACTATAACTTTAACAATACGTCCGTTTGCTGTATTTATTACGTTCCAACACTTATATCTATTTTCAACTGTCTTTGTCATTTAGTTTTACAATAAATTTCTCTAGATCTACAGATCAGCTGTTGAAGGAAGAAAAAGTTATGAATCTAGATCTCTAGATCTAGATCTAAGTCAATAGACTTAACGTAAATTCTAGACCTAGACTTAATGTAAATTCTACATCTAGAATCTATTTCAAGCCTTAATTATTTTATATGGGACTCAAATACAGGATCTTAATTATTGGACTTCACAACTTAACTGGGACAGCTTTTTCCGTGACAACCTTTTTTAGTTCTGGTCCACAAACTTGACAAGAGAGCGACCTTGGATGTTCGTACTTCGTAAGGATCAAGTGAGGGGATGGGGGAGTGGCGGTATGCTTAAACATGTTTAAGAATATATAGTAATAGATCTAAACATTTTAAAGATATTCACATGCATGTTTTTATTAATTAGCGTAAGTGTTTTAACAATGTTTAATCAGGCCATTTATAAAATACGAGCCGACCCACGGCGTATCACACGCCGCTATTTAGTTTTTTTTTTACTTTTCAGTAATTCATAATTTGTGCATTCGACAGTACCAATGCTGTCAATAAAAATATTTCTTTAAAACCAGTGACGGAACTAGAAAAAAGCCCCCCCCCCCCCCCCCCGCAAAGAAATTTTTTTGGCCCCATATATATATATATATATATATATATATATATATATATATATATATATATATATATATATATATATATATATATATAACAAAAATTCTTAGTTTAAAAAAAAATTAAAACAAGTTACAACAACATGTCATTTGTGTGAGGTCCATTAGTCTGTTTTGAAAATCTCTGGTACAACATATGTTTTCCATAATGCCTCCTATACGAGAGTCGATCAAAAGAATATGAAACATTAAACCTTTGTATGTGTAATGGTTTCTTGCGTTATCTTTATTTTTAAGTTTTTTTTTTTATTTATGTCATTAGTTTTAAATACATTTCCTTTTTACTTTCTCGTATATACGAAGTATAGAGAAAGTCATGTAATCGTGCAAAAAAATCGAGATTTTTACAAATCTCGACGTTTTACACCTCACTGATATGGAAAAACATAATTTTGCACTCTTCTCCGTATGTCTGTGTGTCTGTCTGTGTGTCTGTGTGTGTGTGTAAACACGATAACTTGAGTACCGTTACAGCTAGGGTGAGTAAATTTCATATATAAGTATTTTATTAAAATAGTAGATCAGTTTGAGCTTTTGAGCGATTTCCGATAACCGGAAGTGGTACTTTTTCTACTTTTCAAAAGCCTATAACTTACTTAAGTACTATTTCAGATAGATAAATGAAATTTCATATGTAAGGAAAAGATCTAATCCTCTACATTCTGTCAAATTTTGAGTAATTTTCGTTTGACCGGAAGTACTAATTTACGCTTTTTTTTTCTCAAAAAAACGAATGTAAATTTATAAAGTACTAATATTATTGCGCACTATTATGCACATTTCATTTGGCGTTCACCTGGTGTGCAAATCTTTTTTCTACGAGATTTTATTCTATTTTAAAAACTTTAAGTATTTAAAATGGAGTTCCCATCCCCTGTTGTTTTATGGTCCTAGTACCTTTGACCACAGGTGCTTTGACCATAGGGGGTTTGACCACAGCGGGGCTTTGACCATAGCGGTGCTTTGACCATAGCGGGTTTGTTCATAGGGGGGTTTGACCATAGGGGGTTTGACCACAGGTGTTTTCTAAGCAGAGGGTCTTTGATCACAGGTGGTCTATCAACGGGTGTTTGATCACAAGTGAAAAATACAATACGTCTAACGACAATATTTGCGACATGAAAATTTACGTCGTGGAAATAAGAAATTTAATCGTATTTGAAAAAAAATTCATAAAAAAACGTTTTAATAACAAGCTTTTATGTAATAATGCACTAAAAAGTAGAAAATAAATTATAAACTACTGTTTAAATAACTGCAAAGGAAAGCGTGTTCTCTTCCTAATATTAGACACTACTATTTAAATTACTATAAAGAAAAGCGTGGGTCACTTTAGTATCTATTGGATACCTTTACTAATATTTAGGAAGAGACCCATGCTCAAGCTCGAATCCGAGTTCAAATCAGTCGAACGTCTCTGATTGGTACCTAACCAACGTTAGGGAAACGAAAGCAGCTGGGCATAGTGCTGAACACACTATCCCTTTATATGTGTCTTTGATATGAACGGGATAATCTGAGGAAACAGTTATAAGTGTACAGACGTTCTACAGATGTAAGTCTCAACAATCAAACCGTTCTCCCACGCTGCAGATTCAAGACTTAAGAATCTCATACAAAACCAAGACTACAACGTTCATTTTCTCTATATTGATATATACATACATACATACATATATATATATATATATATATATATATATATATATATATATATATATATATATATATAATCTGTAGAAACCTTGAAACTGTATAAATTTAAAGCTGTTCTAGCCAAAAAAGTAATATCCAAAGCAGAGAAATAATAAACGAAAAAAAAAACTGGTAGCTAGATACATATGTAGACAGACATCCCAAAAACGGCTGACACTTAGAAGCAAAAACTAGGGACAGACAACACGAAGATTTCAGTTAAATAAAACAACAAAAATATCCAATATAGCTTCAGACATATGTGTGTGTATCTCTTACCGGCAACAATGGCAGCAAAGATTAATCCATAAAAAGCAAAGTAATTTTCTTGATTAAAATACGTCATACTACAATAACATTGATATAATAACACCTAATAATACACTTATACAATTGCTGAAATATGTGTTGCCTTAAATTTTAATTTTTTAAAGGCTCTTTGAGAATAGACATGAGCAAAGTTTTGTAAACATTGATGATTACGCACATTTATCTAGCCGTATAGGGGTCGGTAGTTCGCATCTAACAACGATAGAAATGGGAGGGCACTCCCTCAATGATGTTAACCACACCTCGCAACTACAGGTACCTAACTCTAGTTTATATGTTTAGTACGGTTACACCAAGATTTAGTGACGGAATGACCTAGCGGTAGAGAGCTATTGCTAACATGTAAGATTACCTAACTCACGTTATGGAAAGCAGTAGCGTATCGAGGGGGGGGCGGGGGAGGGACATATGTCCCCGGGCGCCGACCTTGGGGGGGGGGCGCCAAATTGAAAGTTTGAAGGGGGTGCAAATGAAAAGTTCGAGGGGGGGGGGGGCAAATCGAAAGTTTGAGGGGGGTGTGCAAATGAAAAGTTCGAGGGGGGGGTGCAAATCGAAGATTTGCTCTCGAGGGGGCGCCAACTTGGAAGTATGTCCCCGGGCGCCGGGAAGGGTAGCTACGCCTCTGATGGAAAGTAAAGGCGGCTGGGCATAGTGCTGACCACACTATCCCTTCATACGTCGAGGTCAAAGAAACACGTGAGTCTACTTTACCTGACCCTTAGACCTTGAGATTTGTAAGGGGAGATTTATTTACACTGAGATTTAAGACTTGTATTGATACACAGTTTATAAAATGATACTTTGTTAGGACTAGGCCGGCCAGCTTAAGGATCAATAAAGCTCTTAAGATTTAACGTTAACCAGGTGTTGTGTTTTATTGAACGACCTGGTGGGCCAGTTGAAAGGGTGTATAGGGGAGCTATGGATGTCCCAGCCTATGAGAACAACGCTGAAATATTACTTTGTGTCGGGAAGCCTAATAGTATTTTCTCTAGGTAAAAAAAGTGGCTATTTTTACCACAAAAGTAAACAAATGACTCTGTACACTGTACTTTAAAGACGGTTTTTCATAAATAAATATGGCTTTTAGGATCATAGCAATGTCTATTTAGATTCAACGTTGGTTATTCCGAATATATCAAGTAAAATTGGGAAATCAATGAATTGTTCGATTTATAAAGAAAAGTACTCCCGACCATTCCGTTTAGAGATAAAAATGTATTGGATTTCATACAAAAGGTTTAAGTCTAAGTTCTTGTTGAGTTGATAGGTTGTCATTGGAAACATTGTAGCTGCATTGCATTATTGAATGAATTTGTCCGCTTCGTCACAGTAGATGTATGTTACTTCGTTGTTTGAGTCTTGTTAATAATACAATTCATTGTGGGCTGTGTCAATTTCTGGTTGCCAACTTTAAGGGTGTGTTTTTAGAATTTTGTTTCTTGTAAAGAAGCAGTCTGGAACCTCACAATATAAACACTAATAGGTAAGTGCTCTTTGGTGTTATGTTTCGGAATGTTCCAACATGTTTGTCTTGATTGTAAATCTAACAATTTAGGGCGTCCATGTGCTCTTCGTTAACCAAATGTATTGACAGTGGTCCGAAGAATAAAAGCAAAGCAGATTAGGAAAAGTTTGTGGCGATTCAGGTCTTCACTATGTGATTTGGACGGAGTGGTGGCTTCTAATGTCATTGAACTTTGCTGGTGATGTATTTTTTTCTTGTTAGGTTAAGGTGATATGGTGTGTTGTGGCTTTTTACTTGCTGTGTAAACGGTAATACTTCGGTTGTTGGTGTGGTGGATACTAATGATGAATATTTTTTTTTGGCAGAGCTTGTATTAGAGTCTCTTGCATAAAGAAGGAAGCACCCAGCTCAGGGTTTCTTCTATTCGGGTTATGTCGCCATTTGTGAAACTTAGAGTGTATTGTCCGTTGGTCTTAGTAGAATTCTGTCGCTTGTAGATCTCAATCATTAGAGCTGATAGCCATGCGTAAACACAATAGTAGTTAAAGTATAGAAATTATATTTATTACCCCTTTTTTAGTATCCTTTTTTGTTATATTTAAATTCATTCACATCTGTTAAATCCTTCGGTTTCACTTGATGCCTTAAATTAAGTAAACGATTTCAATGCTAATGTCATCATCACTTGCTTCAGAGACTTCGAAATATGAAGGGTAAGTGTAGTCAACACTATGCCGAGCCGCCTTTGTTTCCCTAACGTAAGTTAGTTACCCATCACTAATTATAAGATTGTATATTTATAAAAATGTGGTATATAAAATAATTATAGATTGAATTTTTTAAAAAAATGTAATAAATAATGTTAATATTTCAAAAATAAACTTATTACATTAAAGTTATAAAATTGTAAATATTATTCTATAAGAACGTTGTCTGTGTTTAGATAAATCACTTTTTACTTTAAGTTTGTGTCTATTGTTATGTAGAGGGGGTGGAAGCAAGAGATGTAACTGAAATAGTAATATAAACAGAAAGTGATATTTCAACGCTAATGGTAGACAAAGGTACAGCCGCCTTTACTCTCCCTAACGTGGGTTAGGTACCAATCAGAGCTGGGTGGCCTCAGGGACGGTCTATAGACTTGAACCCGGTTTCGAACTCAAGACTTACGGGTTAGCAGTCCAGAAGTACATGTGTAAAGATTGTAAATTGCACCCGTTGTTTCAATACTAGTATTGATAACAATAAAAGAAAAAAAATTGTGTTGAAGAGAGACAACATTTTAAATAATTTTTCTAATCATACTGATTCATCAACTGATCACTAATGTATTAAAATGGAGTATGTAAATTTCGCGTTGTGCTTCAATCTTCAACGTTTATTTGATTTAATTTTTTTTTAAATAATAAGACGTATTTTTTAAGCCATCATTATTACTTAGATTATTATGAAGTAAAAATGTTTCTAAATTTCATTACTTTGCTTATTTTGAGAAAAATAATATATTTTATTATTGTGAAATGAAAAAAAATTATTTCTTTGACACATATGAAATATTTGTGTTATTCTTTTTAATTTATGAAACCTAGTAAGTTATTTGTTAAAATTATTTGACAATTGTAGCTTGAATTTCTTTTTCTTCTTTAATCTTAAAAGGAATACAATTATTCTGATAAATGACGTTTGTTTTCCAAATAGACAACGTTTCTTTTTAAAATTGTATGCATAGAAGTTATTTTTAAGCAGGTAAACGTTTCAAAGACTGCCGCCTTGGAAAACCATATCAGCTAAGTCAGTAACCGAAGACGAACCATCACCAATTCACACATATCGCTGATGATATAGATGCCATTGCAACCGTGAAGACATGGAGTAGACATTGATAATGACCAACATCCTGAATGGTATGGCTTCTGATTTGTAAATGGCAATGTTGTAAGGCTCTGTGCCGAGAGAGAAAATAAGGGGAAAGCAAAGACGAATATTTATATATGACACAAAGGAACAGACTAGTGTTCTCACAGAAAGAAAATGAGCGTCAGACGACTGAAGTGGATGGCGGAGAGTTTATGTGTCCACTGTGGTGCCCCCAGCAACCATAATAAGGGCAAAGTGAAGATGATGATGATGATTTGATAATGACATATCGCCTAATTATCGCAAATAAATATACAAAAAAAAATTTTCTTTTCGATTTTTATTAGATGAATTAATTAACAAAATTATCCATTAGTTGTTTCTTTTGACAAGGACTCCTGGGTCATCCAAAAATGACGTCATGCGTTGCCATTCCCTGGTCTCATACACCTAAATGTTGTTCCACATGGTTTGGTCCTATTACACAGAAAAAAATAAAAAATTGTTAAAAACATCTAGAAATGGTATATATGTCTATCTAAATATATATATATATATCTATCTCTCTCTCTCTCTCTCTCTCTCTCTCTATATATATATATATATATATATATATAAATATATATAAATATATATATATAAATGTATATAAATATATATATATATATATATATATATATATATATATATATATATATATATATTTATATATATATGTATACATATATATATATATATATATATATATATATATATATATATATATATATATATATATATATATATATATATATAATATATATATATATATATATATATGTATATATATATATATATATATATATATATATATATATATATATATATATATATATATATATATATATTTATTTATTTATTTATTTATTTATTTATTTATTTACTTATTTATTTATTTATATAAAAAACCTTAGAATCATTAGATTTGTCCACATGTTTGTGAAAAAGTAATTAAAGAGTATGTCATTTGGTCTACGAACAGTGGAGGTAGCTTTTTAATGTAATAATTTTAAAATATTTTGTTTACTATTTCTAAGAAAAACAAAAATAAAAAATTATAGCATTTTTTAAATAGATTTTTTATTATAAATTAAGTTTTGTGTTGTAATTGCGAAAGAAATGTAATAAAATATTTGATTTATACTATTAAGAAAGCCCTCGCATTTCTAATAACATTGCGAGTAATAAATATGCGAATATTCAATCATTGTTTGAATGACATGAAAGCACTCCAATGTTTAAATTTAGGCCCTATGCATTTAATATAACAGCTACTCACCTATGTATTAATCATTCAATGTCTCATTTTTTTTGAAAACCTATGCGAACCTAGGCAGTATGCCTAGTATATATATATATACTTTGCAATGGTCATGAGAAATGCCCAGTTGCATTATTAACAATTTTTTATATTCACAGTGACGCTCTCTAACACATACTTTGGACAAATAGGTGTATTCAAATATTACACGAACCATAAAACACAAACACCCGAACTCAAACATAAATACATTGTTTATCTGTATCTTTACACACATGTGTACTAAAATGCAATTTTTTTACGCGGCATGCTTTAATTGACGATTTTCACGGACCCCCTATCCCCAGTAGGATAGTGACGTCATTTAAGGACAAATTTTTACCTGCACACATAAATGTCCCAACAGCATGGTTTAGTGGGAAAACATTTTTTAAAGTATCGGGCGCACCTATAAAAAAAACATTTTATTTACTAAGACAACTTATTATAGTTATCTATAATAAAAAGCTGGTTGACATGTTATAGTTCTTCCTTCCATCCGTTATTCCTGCATCGCTAAAGATTCTAGAACCATAAAAGTAAACATTAACACATGCCGCGATTTTACGTAACTCATTTTCTAATTATAAGTAGGCCTATTGGAGTAGGGTTTGTTTATATAACGACTTTCATTTTTTAGTTGTCGTCAAATGTTTACTCTTTTGCATACCTAAGCTAAAGAACGTGAAGAAATATTAAATACATGCACATTGCTAAAACATATTAAACTGATCAATGTAAAACAATACATTTGCTTATATGCCTAGAAAAAATGAATTGAATTTACATGTACCTATGTGGGGATAGGACAAAACTAATCACAAACACAACCGAAAAAATAAACACAACACAAACTCAAAACTAAAACAAGCACATACAAACACAATGCAAACACAAACGCAAAAAAAAAACACAAAGTAATGGACAAACACAAACGCTAACGCAGACTCAACACGCAAACACAACGACAAACAAACAAAAAAGAATCGCAAACACAACGCAAAACCAAACTTAAACACAAAAGAAAACACAGTCGCCCACACAAACGTAAACACAAATGCAAACACTAATGCAAACGCAAACGGAAACAAAAAAACGCAAACATAAACCCTATCACAGCCCTAAAAACAAACAATAACGCATCACATAAACACAAACTTTAATGCAAACATAAAAGCATAGTGCTCACAGTGTAGCCCTGGGCGTCGAATAGCACCCTGCCGGGGATCTGGTTGAAGCGCCGGATTCTATTTAGTAGACGACTATAATACCCCTAGCCTGTCCGCAAACCGAAAGATAGAAGTAAACAGTGGACATTTAGGAGCAGCGTGTAAACTGTTATTGATTAAAAATAATAATCAGTGTATATAGGAATATTTTAAAGGCAGTTTAAATATCCGTGTTTTACCAACCTCATTGCACTTTATTCAATCCACGCTAATTATTGTATTTCAACAATAATGCCCTAATTGACGTCAGCGCAATATGCATTCACATTTTTTTACTTAAATATCAATATTTGGCGTGAGTTTAAAAAAATTCAATTACCTCCCCTGTCATAAGTATTATATATTTTATTAAACATTTGAATTGATTACTTTTATTCGACCATAGGTATATAAGCAAAATATTATTTGATATTGATCCTTTTAATATGTTTTAAATGTGAGTGTATTTAATATTTTATTTAAGTTCGTTTCTTGACTAATGCAATAAAGAATAAAAGCTGCAGACATGAAAAAAATGTAATTCGTTATGTAAATATACCCTACTTAAGTAATTGTATAAGAATGCGATGAAAGCAAAGTCAAGGCATATGTTGATGTTTTCTTTTAAGGTTCTGGTTCTATAGCGATGACGGAATGATGGAATGACGGAAGGAAGGACTGACACACTACCACTAGCCTTGTATAATAGTATATTATGACTATGATTACGATTAAGCTAATCACGGTTTTTGTTTAGTGCTACCGTCACCAGCATGGAATGCGGGCGCTCTGCTAGTATGCACTTTACGAGCCGACTCGCGGCGTAACATTCGCCGCTATTTAGTTGTTATATATTCTACATTTCAGTAATTCATTATTTGCGAATGCTGCCACTGAAATTTTTTGCTTTAAAACACTATCAGTAGCCCGTTAGGGACGATAACCCCCTCCTCCATTCACCCGACTTCTACCCGGTTCCCCGTGAAAGAAGTCTCCTCTTAGTTACCTCCCTTAAGTTTAAAATAGTTTCAAACTAAGTTATCTGCCCCTAATGGCCGTGACTAATTAGACCCTAATCCACGATTGTAAAAAAAAAAAGGTCAACAGACCGGTGGGGGTGGGGTTGGTAGCGATATGCCTAGAGAGGAAGAGAGGGGGCTGCTAGGCGGCGCTTACGTCTTTTGGTGCCCAGCAAGGTCCCCTTGAAGAGAATTATATATATATATATTGTTGAGCTTACATCTTGTTGGTTTCCCGCATGGTGCTCATGAGAATTATATATGCGAGTTGACCCGCGACGTAGCATACGGCTCTATTTAGTTGTTCTATTTCCCATTTTTCATATTTTGTGAATTCGACGCTAACAATGCTTCGACTAAAAATATTTTGCTTTAAAACACTATCAGTAGCTCGTGAAGAACCCTCACTTTCCATTCCTCTCCCTCCCCCGTGAAAGCAGCCATCCGTGACGACAATTCGCGAACGACATTAAAAAAAAAGATTAAACAGAAGGTGTTATTACCTCACCTTAGTTTCACATATTTTAAAAACTAAATTATCTGCCCCTAATAGCCGTCACTAATTCGACCCAATAGTAAACAGCTCACCAGACTGACAGGGGTGGGCTTGGTAGCGATATGGTCTGTTTAGCTTACGTCTTGATGGTGTTTCGCATGGTCGCCATGAAGACAATTATATAGACAGATTGCTACGTTATAATGAAGATACACTTGTAATTCTGGTTTAGGTAAGGTTTAAGATGTTAAATGCATGTATAAATTGAGTCATCATTCCCGTTCGAGCCCAAGACACATGGGGCAGATGAAGTAGGGCTCATCTGCATCAGAGACCTCAGCATATGAAGCGATAACTGGCGGTCACAACATTACATATAATTTCTAAGAGTCGACTACACTAAAATGCTATCAAAAGGTCATGCAATATTATTCGAATTGATGTGAAAGCTTAGAGGTTCTCAATACATCTTTATATGCATCTTTAATATTATATTTTTATTGGTAATATACTCTAAAAGCAACTGTTATTCCTAGGATAAACGGATTTTTAAAATTAATAGAGATTATGTATAAAATTAGCTGTGTTCCGCTTGTTTACTTGATGGGCCTTGTACTTTTGCTCAATACCACTATTACCAAAACATTTTAAAATTTACCATAACATTTGCTGGTTCTAATCTTAACTCTAAACAACCAGGTATTATAAAGAAACTAAAATATGTGGATAACAAAAACATACCATCTTTTGCCAAAGGTTTCTGTTAAGTTACATTCCACGAAAGAAACTGTGCATAACAGCAGCAACAGTAAGATCAAATTGCTCATCATGAGTTAGGCCACGATGTGTCTATCTATTTAATGAGAAAGTTTGTTCATAATAAAAGCAACACGTTTGTTTTTTAAATTCATAAAAAGCGTTTTAATAACAATATTTTATTTAATAATGCATTTTAAAAAAATAAAATATCTTCTTGAAATATATAATAATCCACTATCTTTTAAATTAACATAAACAAATGCGTTGGTCACTATAATTTCGAATTGATACCTTTACTTATATTTAGGAAGGGACCCACACTTTTATTTATATGATTTTAAATATTATTGTATCATTATATATTTCATGAATTACATTTTTTCTCTACTTTTTAGTGCATTATAACATATTAGTGACAAAGCAAAGAAAAGTTATATTGCTAAAAATCAGACACATTCAAAATAACATAGGCTACCATTACTTTTTTAGAAAAACAAAATTTAAATAAATTATTAGTCAGCACTGCATCGTATTAAAAACACACACACACAGATTAAGACACATAAATGATTCCGTAAAAAATCCCGGCTGTTCATTGGTATTTGTGTTATCTTTTAAAGTAGTTTGTATTACTTTTGGCAGAGAAAACTATTTACATTTTATAGCGTACGCCTTGATAAGTAGATGTAAGTCAAATTTGCTTAAAATAGGTAATTTCTTCATATTCTAAAATTAGAAGATCACGCCATTAGTTTTGTGCACTTTCCGTTTTTTAACCCCGTGAAATTTGAATTCATTTTTTTCTGCGTTCTTATCAGAATAATAAACACTTTTGCGGTAGCATAATTAAAATGCTTTTATTTTTATTTTCTTTCTTTAAATAAAATATAGTTTGTACATTTAAAGCACCCAGCATATTATTTTCAACAAAATACCATATCAAGTTCTCTATATATTGATGAAGAGTCAGATTTGATATCCTGTGAAAATATTTTGCGGACAGAGAGAGAGAGAGAGAGAGAAGTGCGCGAATGGGCTTATATATATTAGGACTAGCCGTTGGTACCCGTTACACGTGAATTATCGGTCTATATATTTTTAATGGTATACATTTTTTGGAAAAATATTTTATAAAATAGTTATTGTTCAAAAAGCAATGTTCTTTACTAAAAGGTTTTAGGATATTAGTGACAAAGCAAAGAGATAACTAAATAGCTATAAGCCCGACACATTTAAAATAACACAGGCTACTAATACCTATTAGAAAAAAATAAGACCAAATTATATACATAATTTATCAACACAACACCGTATTAAATGCACGCATTGATTAAAAGGCTTAAATAACTCAGTTAAAAAACCGGCTTTTCAATAGTATTTATGTTGCTTTTTAAAGAAATTTTATAAGTTTTGGCCGAGGAAATTGTATAAAATTCATAAATTACGTCTCGATAAATAAAACTATAGATCTAAATTAAATTTTAATGAAATAGTTCACTTCTTTATATTCTAAAATTGGATGATGACGCCATTGGTTTTGTGTACTTTATTTCAATTGTATGACATGTGACGTCAGCGATTTCTGCGTTCTTGTCCCAATTATAAACACTTTTCCGGTTGCATAATTAAAAGTGTGTTTCTACATTCGAATATGTCTTTATTTTTATTTTCTTTCTTTAAATAAAATTGTGTTTATACATTTAAAACATCTTCCATATTATTTTCAACAAAAGTCCGTATCAAGTTCTCCATATATCGCTGAAGATTGTGATATCCTGCGTAAATAGTTTGCGGACACAGAGAGAGAGAGAGAGAGAGAGAGAGAGAGAGAGAGAGAGAGAGTGAAAGAGAAGTGCGCACATGGGCGTTTATATATTAGAATAGAGAAAGTATTGTAATCGTGCACAAAAAACACGTGTAATTTTTACAGTTTTCCTGTTTTTACTTCTTAGGGCTTCATCATATACGGAGTGTAGGGGACTTATTTTCATCGGACAAACGTTCTAAATAAAGATTTATTAAAATGTCGGTGGTTCACACGTAATCAAGTTCGGAAAAACTGGACTTTGCAATTCTGTCAGTGTGTGTATGGGGGAATGTCTGTAAAAAAAGCGTGAATGGGTTTATTTGAATAGGTTACAGCTAGGTTATTTAACTTTTATATAAGTATTATTATATCAAACTTGCAGTTCTGTATTAACTTTTGAGCGATTTCCGATAGCCGGAAGTGGGACTTATTGTACTTTTAGTTTTTCAAAAGCCTATAACTTGAGAACGGTTTCAGAAAAATAAAATCTTATAAATAAAATCTTATATAAAAGTAAAAGACCACTTTTTCTGCTTCCCGTCAACTTTAGAGTAATTTCCTTTCTACAGGAAGTAGTAATTTACAAAGTTTCCGATTTAACAAAAAAGCATATATATTTATAAAGTACTGATAACATTCCGCACTATCATGCACATATTTTTTGCCATTAACTAGGTGCCCAATTTTCGTTTCTACGAGATTCTATTGTATTTTAAATAGTTTTAGCAATTAAAAAATGATTAAAAATTATTTCTATATCCCGAGTTGCCTTCCCCGTAGTGTTATAAAAGAATATTCGCAATATTAAGGAGGAGAGATCACTCCCGGTTTATTTTCAGCACTTTAACCTTTTTTGTTTACAAAAAAAATTGCATGCCTAAAAACTTTTGCGCACCTAATGAACATGGTAACTCGTGTATAATAAGATGGAATAGTTGGTTACGGCTGCCAAATAATTTAGGCAAAATTTTCATTATTTTAAAAAAAAATTCTTGGCATCCAACTAAGTCAAATTTAATGTTAGATTGCATTGTCTTCATGTCTTGATCAACGTGCCAACTTTTCGCACCCCAGTTTCGATCCATGATGCGTGTCGGTAAACAAACTGTCGACAGGAAGCAAGTTAGACAAGAGCTTGTAGATACGCTTTCTTACCGAAGTATATATTTTTTTAACATTTTGAGCTTAAACTTTCACCGGAAATAAACGTTCTAAAATGGCAAAATATATAGAACTAGCGAATGAGCTAGACATTAAAAAGGAAGACAGGTTGGCATTTGCAAAACAAAAGAAAGCTGAAAACGATACTAGAAAAAAAAAGAAGAGAAGGCTAGAAAAGAAGAAGAAAAGGCTAGAAATAAAGTAGAAAAGGCTAGAAACGAAGAAGAGAAGGCTAAAAAGGAAGTAGATGACAAGGAAATGGCTAAAGGGTTAGAAGATAGAAATTGATAAAAAGAAGCATTTAAAAGCAAGAAAAAAGGAGATGAAAGACTGCTAAAGCAGTAAATGAGAAAATACGGCTTCAAAGAGAAGCAGATAAAGCAAAGCATAAGCTAGAAATAGAGTTAAATAGATCTGAAATTACAACAGGCAGTGTTAGTGTTTACTTAAGTTCATCACAGAGCGGCAGTCTAGGTGTTAAGCCCCTGGGAGAATGGTAGTCAAGGTGATTCAATAAGTTTATCGGAAAATGGCAGCAATCACCATAAAATAATACTATCGGATGATAGCAAACCAATGATGATGAACAAGTTGGTCAACGAAATAAGCAACACCGGAGATAACGTACCTATAGTAGAACTATTAAGAAAGTTGGAGTCAAACCATAAAGAAGATATACTGGACATTAAGAGTAAATTTAACAGAGAATTGGAGAATTTTTTTTTTTGAATGAATTGGAATTAATAATGAATCACAAGTTAGTCAAGAAATATGAGTCAAAAACTAGAAGGTACCTGTAATTAAAGCACAAACTGAAAGTAGAAGAAGTATATTAAGCTGTGGATACAGTAACAATAATTATATAAAAAAAAATCTAATTGATGATTTACATCGGAAACACAGGTCACTCCCAAGATCACTGCTAGTGTAGATTGGCAGATCAAACAGAAATAGTCATGTACAAGAAACTACATATAATATCAAAATACACCAATAACAATAATTTAAGAAAGAACGTATCTTATTAGGCCAACAGAGACCTAGATGACAGATATCTAATAAAAAAAATATGAGAGGTCAAGGCAATGCCATAATATTTGTATAAAGTTGGTTGATAAACCAAGCAAAAGAACACATAGTGAGAAAATACTAAGCTAGATGACCAAGAAATAATACAGATACCCAAAGAGAAGGAAGATAATGGTCAAGAAAACCTAATAGTAATACAAGTTAAAATAAATCAAGGGAATTATTATAGTAGCAAAGCTAGAAGCCACACCCACAATTTATGGAAGAGATGTCAGACAGGTCATCAATTATACAAAGGTTAAAACAAACATGATTTTATGAATTTATTGTTACACATTATGCCAAGTATAGTATGTTATCTAATATATAAAGCTCAATTCATACAGCATACAGCTACATGTGATAAGTTTGTTTGTCGTGGACATACTTTGATGGATTTAAGTGTTAGATTATAACCGTGCTCATAGTCTAAATTTATAAGTTAAAAAATTACTATTAAAAGGGTTGGGACATAATTTTCATTTTTTTAAACTGATAGTAATAATTTTCGGCATGTTCATTAAACACAACTTTAAAAAAAATATCATCTTTTATAAAAATTCTAATTATGTCTGAAAATTATATTTATATTTAGTCCTTTAGCACTTACTTCCCTTTGATAAATTAGGAAAACACAATTACTTCCCTTTATAAAACATTGCATTAGTGGAAAAGAATTTACATTTTATTACTTTGTTTTGGTGTTGGGAAAAAAATAATTACATAATTAGCGGGGATTGATCACGTGCAAATGTTGTAGGTATTTTACGATTAAGCTCGGAGTATTATAATAGTTCATTAAATTGAAACAGGCGCGTCCGCCGGCGCCCCACCAGGGTTCAATTTGGCGCTCTGGGCTATCCTGTGAGCGGTATGGTGCATAATTTCGCTTTAAACAGTACGATAGAGTATGGATACGAAAGGTTACTATAGTCTTTAAGTGAAGCGAATCCGGGCGTCCTCTGGTGCCCAGACAGGTTGCTATTTGGGGTCCCGGGCCTCCCGTGTTCGGTTTGGCGCCTACGTTCGTTTAAGTGAGTGCAAAAGACTATGAATAA